ACTTAATCATATCTCCCCTTTTTCTCCACTCCTCTGCAATCCCTCATCCTCTCACTTCTTTCATCTTTCTATAATACCCCCTTCTCCTCTTCTCCTTCTTGTCTTCTCTATTTCCCCTACTACCAAATTACACCTAAGAAACCATTTTCACTCAATCTGAACCCTTCCAGAGCTATTCATAAGAAGAAAAAAAAGTGTATTCAATACATTAAGGTAACTTCCCCTTATTTATATGTATTTTGTTTTTGCTTTTATTAAATAGATGGTGTTAGAATCCAATTTTTCAAAATGGGTCGACCTAAAGACGAGATTTGGGTAAATATAATTAACCTTACAATTGTCTTTTGTTCACCCAATTCGTAAAAACTTGGATGGTTTAACAGAAAAAAAAAACTAAAAATTATTTAATTAAGGTTCATTTTCATGTTGCTCACTCAATCATCCGACTGAATGTTTTGACCACAATGTTATTGTTTTCCGTAACTAAATGGCCAATTTATGTTTGTGTGTGCTCCTACTCGGGAAATCTGGTCAAACTTGTGATTCGATCCATTTTTATACGAATTTTTGTTGTTTGACTTGTGTGGCATTGTCCTTGAAGCCATTTTAGCTAGTTTTTGTCATGCTTTAGTATGTTTCAGGATCTATCAGGTGAAATGGGCAAAAGGAAGGAAAGGAGGCAAAAATGGGACAAAGTTTTGGAAATTGAATGGATCATGGTTCATAGCATATGTTCACGGGCAAAGACCGTGAAGATTACCTACAAACTGTGAAGCTTGCAAGTATCTAGGAGCATTTGAATGCCTTGCGGGCATTGCACACATCATGGACGCATGGCATGAAGAATGCAACGAAACCGTGAAATATGTAATTGAAACAATACTTTTTGTGTCGATGTCACGATTTCATTGCACGCATCACACTCGTGACGCTTGGCCATGAAGATTGCACTACTAGTATAAATATGAAGAGAGTAAATTACAAAGGGGAGGAGAGTTTTAGAGAGAGAGTTTGATCTTCTTCTTCATTCTAGAAAGATAAAGCAAAGAACCAAGGAAGATTGAATGGGAATTTGAGCTACAAAAGATCAAAAGAGGCCAGATTTCATCTTCATCACCATCCCAAGCAACTAGGGAGAAGGAGAATCATACTTTCATGGGGTTTTCCTTCTTTATAGTTGTAGTTTGATGATTGTGAAATCTTTGTTGTGATTGACATGATTGCTTATATATTGATTGAGTATTTATCATAATAATTGAAGATCCTTGATCAATTCCCTGAATTTTGGGGCCAAGTAACGTAGGTGAGAGTAGATATCCTTAGATTTATTTAGGGCATTATTCAATCATTGTAAGGGGGCCATGAACGAGGGTGATTGGTTTCTTTACGCTATTCGGGGTCATCAGCTCAGAGAGTGGATTTGGTTGCCCTAATCACCTAATATGGTAGTTTGGTGTGCCTCTACAATTAGAGCAATTAGGCAGGTTAGGACAACTCAAATAGCGAATCCTAACTAGCTTTCATATCCTAACGGTATATACTTCATGTGAATCATGCTAGAGTATCTTGTCATTAAATCAACATGGGGTTAGGGGGATAATCATCCGAGTGAAGCTTTCACCATTGAATTCAACCTTGCTTACATTTTTGTTAGTTCATTAACTTAAAATTATATTTCTACCGCTAGATAATTTGTAGTTTAAGGATACATAGACCGCTTGGGTTTGATAATATGAAAAATACTTGCTCTATATTACCCCTGTTGAAGGTTCCACTTTGCCTTAGATTGAGAAAGTACTTAGAATTGAGTCACCTTGCGTTCATGGGTCCATCGTTGGTTCTTCGTGGCCAGATTTTGTAGATGAAATGTTTTGCAAATTTTGATAATTTGGTCAACCTCTCCCTATTGATTGGTCGAACGAACGGAAACAACTTGAGTTACATTTTCAAAGATTGAGCATATGCGTGTTATTTCCTCCCCCCGCCCCCCTAAATTTTGCATATGCGTGTTCAACTTAAGAATTTGCTCTTCTTGGATCTTAGGATGTTTTAAGGAAAGAAGAAAATAACGTCTAACAAAGAGGGAGCTCAAGTAGTGAACAGGGTGGTGATTTCAACGCAATATTGTTCCATAAATAAACACAACAAAACATTTGAATAGAACAAAATGCACAACCACAAGGTGGATCCTGAACGACCATGACGGAAGTGCCTTATACTCATTTTGAAGCTCACGGTTCTCTTGGATCATCTATGGAGCAAGGGTGGCTCAAGGTCTTGTCGTTTGATGTGTCATACTTTTTATAAAAGGTACAGTATTTCTAAAACAACATCACCTCTCATTATGCTGATGATGGAACTGTTGCATATTTTTCATCATATGTTAATGGGATGTAAATGGATATTGTTGGGGATGTTGCTAAATCCGCATTGCACAGACTAAGTAATAGCGCACCACCACTGTGGTGCACTAGCATAGTGACATCCAACATTGACACAAAATGGGACTAAGTAATAGCGCACTATCATTGTGGCTCACTAGCATAGTGATGCCCAACCTTGACACAAACCGAGACTAAGTAGTAGCACACCAGCATTGTGGCGTGCTAGCATAGTGGCGCACCAACTGAAGACTACACTAGTGACGCCAAATTGAGACTAAGTAGAAGTGCACTAGTATTGCAGCGCACTAGCATAGTGACTCCCAACCTGCTACGCTACCTACCACGCTACCAGGTGACGCGCAACCTGCCGCGCAACTAAGGCTGTTATGAGCCAACCTTGTTCGATTTAATAAAAGCTCGATTGGTTTATTAATGAGTAGAATTTGAGCTCAATCTTGTTCGGCTCGTGAGGCTCGATTAGGTAGCTTGTTGACCTTTACAGCTCGTTCCGCGTTCACCTCCGCCTTCAAAGTCCACCAGCTCACTTCCAGCCACGGAACAAGCCTCTACGTGAAGCCCACAAGGAATATGGCGACCCAAAATCCGCTTTCCGCCCCCGCCCTGCAAGTTTAAATACACACAAAATTGAAACACCTATTCGATTGACTTACTTCCCTCTGCCATTAACCACATTGAACCAATAGACTACTTGGTCACTGCTGCTACTAATGCGGGACACCCGCTTGTTGATGACTCCAACCCACACTAAGCACAAAGCAGACTCCCGCATAGCCCCCACCTCACACCAAGTGTTGGGCCCAAACCCTAGCTCGCGGCCTGCTCTTACCGCACTTAACTTTCATTCCCACCGCACAACATATAGGTCCGGTTCGCTTCAATTCGTCCAGCTCCCGCCATCACATCTGTCCCATAACGCGATCCAAATAAGTCTTCGACAAGAGCATTGGTGAATCTCCAATATATGAGCGCTCGACTACCTCCGTTCACATACGTGTGGCTACTTAACCACACATCATATGTGTGGCTACTTAAGTGCAGTCTATACAAGCAGCTACTAAAGCGCACTCTATAAAAGAGAGCACATAATGCCTTGAAGAAACTTCAAAGAGTGAGTGTTCAACGCCTTAGTGAAATTCATCGCATGGGGGGCAAATCGCATAAAACTGGCACCACGTCATGTTGTTGCGCCACCAGTTGGGGGGCAACTAGGGGTACATGGGCCCATCCAGGGTGCTCAATGAAGATGTGAAAAAAAACAATATTATCAAGCTAGAGATGAGTTAAAACTCATCACCAGCTTGGGGGGCAATTGTTGGGGATGTTACTAAACCCTCCTTACACAGACTAAATAGTAGCGCACTAGCACAGTGTTGCACTAGCATAGTGACCTCCACCTTGACACATAATGGGACTAAGTAGTAGTGCACTAGCATTGTGACGTCCAACCTTGACACAAACCGAGACTAAGTTGTAGCGCACTAGCATAGTGGCGCACCAACTGAAGACTACACTAGTGATGCCAAACGGAGACTAAATAGTAGCGCACCAACATTGCGGCACACTAGCATAGTGAAGCCCAACCTGCCGCGCTATATGTGACGCAAAACCTGTCGCGCAACCGTTGCCCTCTACGTCCATATAAAGGCTTCCAAGCCCTCCAAGGAGAGGACTCAACTTCTTCACCCTCATTTTGACATATGGGTTCTCTCTCTCTATTATTCTTTAAACTCACTCTATACATAACCTAACTTGATCGTCGGAGTTTAATCCGGGGGGCATCCACAGCTTTTCACAAATTCCTTCCTTCTCGATGAGATCAGACGAATGGATCGTGATTCAAGCTGACACCAACAAATCACTATTGTTCGTATCCGGAGCTACATGGTACAAACAGATATCACTAAAGAGTTGTTGGTAGAAGTATTGTATATTCCAAACCTCAGGAAGAGGATCACTTCTTCTAGTGCATAGAATGAAAGTAACTTCTTTTGGTGTGATTTATTAATCTTTTAAGACAATTGGTTTAAAGCGACTATTTTGTGTTTATTTTATTTTTTGTGTAAATGATTAATCTTTTAAGACAATTTGGTTTCTTGCTACTATGATTGTGAATTTCTATTGTAGTTCATTGTTGTATGACATTCTGGATTCAATGCGGTTGACCAAACCTATATAGAGGTCGACCGAAATAGGCAACAACTCGACTTATTGTTACCTTACTTTCCACTAAGCAGTCGATCTGTTCCAATATGAGGTCGATCGTTTTTTTTTTTTTTTGTCAAAAGATATCATGTATTCAGAGGTCGACCGTTATTTTTCATTAAAATAGGCATATTAATATAACCATAGAACACTTATTCTTTTCGATCATTTTTGTTGTTGTCCAAATTACAGTAACTAACTTGCAAGTCACTTTAGACATATCCTAACTTTTTTAGTCATTGTTGTTGTATGACGTGTAGTAGCAAAGAGATATGTTATGGTTTGATTGAAATAATAGAAATGTAACATGTTATGGTGGTGAGAAGAGAAGATGCGCATTTCTTTTGTCGTGAATTAGTTATGGTTAACCTAAAATTCCAATCTAGGGTATCCCCAGTCTCGAGGTAACATATCCAATTGTCTACAAAGATGATGTCTTTAATAATAAGTGAAGCAATATTATTGTCAGCTGATCCCTAACTTTAAAAGTAAGTAAATTAACAAATGAGCAAGTATAACAATTGCAAATAAATGTCCTTCGGCGAACAATTTGTCAAAGCCTACTTGTTACAGAGCCTGCAGAGCAGCCAACCATCTAACGAGAAAAGCTAACGTGCTTCTGCTGTCACTCGTTATGGATCACCAATTTCTTCGCCACTATTCGGATCCCGGCACGGTTTTGATAATCGTAGGTATCCAGGAAGAGGTAAGCATCCAGAAAGGTCCCTGGGTTGAGCCATGGCTCAAGCTCCTCCGGATCAAATTTGCTAAATACGAGCTTTTGCATGGTTCCTGATCCCTCTTTCTGATACATCTCTGTCGCATATTGAGCCACATTCCCGTCTACCAAAGTGGGTATGCTGCCAAATGCATACAAAGTCAGCTTGAGTGCTTACTAAAGTACTTCCATCAACCCATGAAACCCATTTCGTGGAAGCTTTACGAAGGACATACAATACTACGAAAATGAGGAAACACAGGAAAGAGAAGCAAGCGATGGAACTTACTTGATCCTCACTTTAGGGTAGTTGGTGTATTTGTCATGCCGCACCACAACATGTCTCCAATTAGATTCACTACCTGAACCTTGGAATAGATTCATAGCTAGTTTGTCACAAGCATCCAGAACTCTACATAAACTTGGAGATGCATCAACCATGAAACTCAGTCGTGGCCTTCCAGCATGATCCACAAACTTTGTGCTGAGTCCGAACCGGACCTTTAAACAAGGGCAATGGAGCTCAAAATCACCATTCTTGTGTAATAATTTCATCTTTTCGCCTCCACGGGGATGCGGAACATAAGATGCCTTGATAGAAGGAACATCAACTTCTTCAAGCTGTAAGATCTCGGAAACAGTTGCTGCTGCTGAAAGCATTTCGGAAGATTCTGAGACAGGATTTTCTTCCATCGAGACATCCCTTTCCAATGACTCAGTATTCACCTCATCTCTGAGTAGGCTCATGTCGAAAGGGTCTGTATTTCCGTGAACAACACTGCTGCTCGTCACAAAAGACAATATTGGATGATTTCCCTCCATTCCATTATTTCCAGGAGTCAACTCTGGGATTCTCTCCAACTCTGAACTCGAAGGAGTGTTCCCGTTCGAGTCTGTTGTGTCAATCATTGATTTGCTTGCTCTGCGACTTCTAGTAATAGCATTGGGTGAAACCCAACTGTTTTCTGGAAATGTCTCTGGGAGACTTGACTCCTGCATTGAAAGAAAATTGAATCAACGCCCGAGCAACCAAATGAAAATATCCGAATTTACACTGCTTATCCACTAAAAGCAGAGTAAGTTAAAACAAACAAACGAAGAACACCAAATGTGATCCCTCCGGCTTATCTTCCATCTTCCAACTACATGTTCTTTTAGCTGCGCCCTTCTTTTAGGTTTACAAGAAGTTTCAAAAGTTGAAAGCAGCATGGAAACCAGCTTAAAAACCCCCTATACGTATGAGCCGCGGCAACAGGTCTCACTTAGTACATGCATTAACCAAGTCTACAATAAGAGGATCTAACAAAAGAAGACCATAAATGCTCTTGTTTGCAGCAGCCATAGAAATGAGTGGCTATTACAGATGAGAGAACCCAGTATTAAAAAATAAAACAGAGAATGGGATTATCTTTAGTGATTTCATTCTCTTGTTCTTGCTAGAGAATGGAACAAGCCTGCCGCAGACAAAGTTGAAATCGTGGATGAGAGTTACCAGGAATAAGACAGTAGCACAATATTTCAGAACTTCAAGGTTCATCCTAACATCATCCAAGCTCCTGCAAGACAACAAACACAACAGAAACAAAGGAATAAGATCATAAAACTGAACCCACAAAGAAAGGAATCCAATAACAAAAAGTGAATTGCTTGGCTGGCATTGCCACTACCTATGCGTTTGCTTTCCAAGTTTAAAGTATGTAGCCAGAGAAGCCATCTGCATCAGGGAAATCAACAACCGGAGAGTCGATAAGAAAAGCGGGGGGAAATAAGGGGTGAAAGCAAAATGAGAGAATACAAGGTTACTACAGTACCTTCATGTCACCAGCTCTCCTACCAAACTTCTGAGTCAGTAAGGCGAGGGAATCAATAGTTCCCTTGGGCTCTGGTGGCGACCTCCCAATATCAGCAAAAGCTTCTCTAATTCGGGGGCAGTCAAACCTCAGAATGTTATGCCCCGCCCAAATCCTCCCTGACACCCATAACCCACCATTTCCAGAATTTCAACCAGGGAATCAAAACAAAAGGGGGGAAAGAGGCCCCCGTCCTGAAAAAAAAAAATGACAATAAACTATAACCCACCATGGAGAATGTCGAAGACTGTATCGGCGATGTCGGAGAAGGAAGGGGCCGTGGTGACGGCCTCGCGGGTGATGCCGTTGCAGCGGACTGACAAGGTAGAGATGAGAGAAGGGTTTGATGGGCAGATGAGGGTGGAGTAGTTGTGGAGCTCGACGAGGGTTTTGGGGCAGACCAAGATGGCTCCAAATTCTAAGAGAGCGAATCCCTGGCCGGTTCGGGTGGGAACGGTGGTCTCGACGTCGAAGAAAGCTATCTCCGACCGATCGCCGGTCATTGTGGCGGTGGTGGCAGCCATGGACAAGGGGTATTATCAGGGAATTGCAGTGGGGATTATGGGGGAGCTCGCACGTAACTACAAGAAAACAAGCCTACGGAAGAAGGAAGGGGAGAGAGAAAGCTACAAGTACAAATGTACAATCGGAGGAAAGGGGCATGAAATGAAGCGCAGGTGAAGCAGTTTTGAAGCGGGTTAGTGGGCTGGCTGGCGGGTCGGATTTTTTTATATAGATAGAGATGAAGGAACCGTCGAAGCAATGGGGGGAATTTCTTCGTTGTGATATTCGGGTTTTGTTTCTTCTTGCTTCCCGGGGTGGGTTTCGGTTTTTTTCATTTAGATACAGAAGGAGTGATTCTTAGGATTACGAACTAAAGAAACTCCACAGGGAAAAGCAACCTAAATGCTGAAGAATCTTTCAATGAAGAAGAAGAAGAACGACATCCCACGCCACGATAAACGACGGGCCCATTTGATCTACTTCTTCGGTTACATTATACACGTTACCAAAGTATTTGGTGGATTTTAAGAATTTGTGTACTATTAGAATACTGGTTGGTTCCAATATAACTAGATGAATTGTTAACGACGTTAGTCATTATGTATGGACTATGGTGCTTCCGTTAATTAAAAAATTATCTTATAAATTGAAATTTTATATTTAATATTGTCGTACAAATTCAATTTATACAAATACTTTTTCGTACAAATTTATTTACGATACAAATACAACATGTAATTCAATATTATGATACAAATTATTTGTTTGTACTCATACAATTTTGTACGAATTCCGTTATGGTAAAAATTGAACGTGTATTTTTAAATTCAACTTGTACCTGAAAGTACTGACGCTTATGAGCCTTTTAAAATTCCTCATTATTGACACAAATTATTAAATTAAAGGATATATAAAATACATGTAAAAAAATTTCAATTAGTATATTGACTCGCACGAAACTACACCACAATAAAACCCCAATTAGAGCCCAAGTTTTTAAGCTCTAATCGGGTGCAGTATAGTGCAAGTATTCAGATATCGACCCGGGCCGGTCCGTCTACCCCTACTTCAGTTGTTGAAATCATTATCTAGCAACAAAAGTTTGGTTTAAAGGTTTGCTAATTGAAATAAAAGAAAGCAAAAGCGATTGGGTTTGAAAACTCTTTTGTGGGAAAGTCACTCGGGTGTCGCTTCACCCTAACCGCTACCATACTATGTGAATTGGAACGATGCCTTTGGGCACGGTAATCGCGAACCGGAGAGGGATGCATATATGGTCGGAGACCGCATCTCAATTGCTAAACCGAGGTAAGGATGGAAGGCCGTGTCACTCGACCCTCTCGGTTTAGACAATCGGTAATTGACTTACTCCCTCACTCAACTCTAAGGTCGGACGGTTTAATCACGATTAATCGACTTGCTTAACTCAATATTGAAGGTCGCCCTAACTTAACCTAGTTTAGGTAGCTTAGAAAGAGGAAGGAAAACCAACTCGATTGAGTCTCCCTTGAAAGGGGGATTTTCCTCTCTAAACTAGGCTAAGGTGGCAAATTAGATTACTAGCACTGATTCGAGCTCTAATGTACACATTTTACCTCTCACTTCTTATTCGTTTAGCTTAGTATTTCATCGATCCTCGGCGTATTTCACTCTAGGTTGTGCTTGTTTTGATACATTTCGGGTCCTAGCCCGTTGTAGTGAATTGAAGGCATCCAAGAAATAGCCGCAGTTCACGGCTGGACGAGGCAGTTCACTGTCTCCTAAGACCGTGAACATGGACCACAAACCGTGAACATCGAGCAGTCCAGCGGGGTTCGTGAAGTTACTGACGACAAGGTAGTTCACGGTCTCTAAGACCGTGAATTAGGGCCATTGACCGTGAACCTAGGCGAGTGAAGCGGCGCGTTTTGGACGACGCTGAGTTCACAAACGCGTTTAGGTGTTCACGGCCGTGAACTGGCCAACGCGTCCGTGAACTGATCGCTTTCGGGCAAATATGAAGACAACAGCGGGGAGAGAGAAAAGGGAGATGGTTTTTGGAGAAGAAACAATTTCTTTCTCTAGGGTTTCAACCTAAACACCAAAGGGGAGTTCTAGTGAGAGAGAGAGAGTGCTAGAGTGATCTTGGAGCATCATTGGAGGCTTGGGTGGAAGATTCAAGCCTAGAAGAAGAAGATCTTGCGCTCAAATTTGTAATACCCCCCTCTCTCTCTAGAAACTCACTCTTTTCTCTTGGGTGTTGTAGATCCCTAACTAATACTTTGTAATTACTTATCTAGATTGAATGATTAAGTGTGGGTTTGCATCAATTTGAGTATTAGAGGTGTTTTCATGGTGATTGTGCATGCTCGTGCTTAGCAATTTAAGGGTTGTGCATAATTGTGCTTAGCACCCTTAGGTTTGTGCATGTTGGCGCTAGCAATCTAATTAGCCACCTTAGCCTAGCTTAGAGAGGAAAATCCCCCTTCCAAGGGAGACTCAATCGAGTTGGTTTTCCTTCCGCTTTCTAAGCCACCTAAACTAGGTTAAGTTAGGGCAACCCTCAATATTGAGTTAAGCAAGTCGGTTAATCGCGATTAAGCTATCCGACCTTAGAGTTGAGTGACGGAGTAAGTCAACTACCGATTGTCTAAACCGAGAGGGTCGAGTGACACGGCCTTTCATGCTTACCTCGATTTAGCAATTGAGATTGTGGTCTCCGACCACATATGCATCTCTCTACGATTAGCGGTTACCAGTTTTCATCTAGGTTGGTTGTGATTAAGCCGCTCAAACTCCGGTTTGAGGGAAAGACCTAGGCAACCACTAGTGACTGAGTGAGAGGATCGATCCCGTGACAAATCGACCTCTAGCGAATCCATCCTGTGACAAATGGATCACTAGTTTCTCCTCCTAGTGGTTCCTCTAGATCTGGTGAGTGGATCGATCCCGTGACAAATCGATCGCTAGTGAATTGATTATGTGACAGACTGATCACTAGTTGCTCACCCTCGCGGTTCACAACCACCTATGCTACACGACTCCATTCAACCCAGCGAGTCATGGTAGCTAGTTATGGGGGAAGCAACTCCTGGGTGGAGCTCCGTTAGTTAGGATTTTCATTTATTTACTTTCCCTTGCTAGTTTAGTTTGTAGTTTTCTTAGCTTTAAAATCCAAAACCATTTTGCTAGATAACAACCTAAGAGATTGAAGTAGGGGTACATGGACCGGCCCGGGTTGACAATTTAAATACTTTCTCTATATTGCACCCAACTAGAGATTAAAAACTTGGGCTCTAGTCGGGATTAAATTGTGGTGTAGTTTCGTGCGAGTCAAGAACCTAAATGCACAAACCTAGGGGTGCTAAGCACAATTATGCACAATGCTTAGGTTGCTAAGCACCTAAATGCACAAACTTAAGGATGCTAAGCACAAAACATGCACAACCCCTAAGTTGCTAAGCACAAGCATGCACAATCATGGTGAATAATGCCTCAATCATTGAATTGAACAATACCCATGGTAGAGTTAGGGTTTCACTACACCCAAGTGAAAGGAGGTCTACTCCAAGCTAGAAGTGGGAAAAACAATAGGGAAAAAGGTGGAAACCATCTTTGATGATGCTCCCAGTCTTCTTGACCCTTGAGTTAAGCTTGGGGGAAATCTTCTCAAAATCTGCCTTGAAGCCAAACTCTAACCTTCTTCTTCCCTTTGGTTCTGTTTCTCTCACTAGAATGCTGAAAAAGGTGTTTCACACAAAAGTGGGCTCTCCCCTCTCTCCTCCTTTCAGCTCATCTTTTAAACCCGAGATGAGCTGAGTTCACGGCCGTGAACCACGAAACGCGTCCGTGAACTCCAGGCATGCTCCAAAACGCGCCGCATCGCTCACGTCTATTCCTTTGCGTCAGTAACCTTCACATTGGCTCTGGACGCCTCGTGATTCACAGTCAAATCCTCTTCTTCACGGTCTTGCATGACCGTGAACTCCCTCGGTTAGCCGTGAAATGGCTCTTTTTCACCTCTTCTCCCGGTTTTTGATCCTTTTCGCCAATCTTTCGACTTCGAGGCTGGTTTTACCTGTTAAATCCTGAAACACACTCAAACACGAATAACCTAGCGTAAAACCAACCTTTAATGAGTGAATTTGGCACAAACATCTAAGTAAAACGGGGGTAAAACATGTGCAATTAGGCCCGAATCACTCCCCCATACTTAGACGTTTGCTTGTCCCCGAGCAAACCATTTCACGCACACGGTAATATTTCAACCTACCCAAATACTTTGGAGACAACTCAAAGGGCACGAAGAGGGAATTCTCGATGTTTATTGACAATCAACACATGAACCATTGCAAGCAATACCGACATCCACCACAAACGACATTCAAAGCCACCAAAATGTGCAAATGAAAAGTTCTCAACTTACTCGTGGATAAAAGCAAGTCTAAAAAAACCCGCTTATCGACCACAACCAACCATACATGGAATACAAGTCCGAGGAAAAAATGGAAAGGCAAAGAAGCTCCTCACCGGGGTATGAAATGGTAAGTAAAACAAGAATGGATCACTCACGCTCAAGACCAGTGGGGTTGGGACCTTTTTGGTGCAAAAGATGTGCACAATCATAACCTCTCGGCCCTATCGTCTCAATACCATGGCGGTAACCTCTAAACTCTAGAGTTCACGGGATGTTTGTTAACACTTGCTCGTCCGGAGGTCTTAGGCACGGGTTCAGATGACTGGCGATTGTCTTGGACATGGGAAAAAAGCTTTTTGGGTGGTGGCAATCATGACGCGAGGTTCTACATCTTCAACCTAAACCCGAAGGTTCTATGGTTTCGACTAAAACCCTTCTCTTCAATCAAAGGCCACTAGCATCGGCCAAAACCCTTATATCTCCCTTCCAACTATCACCCATCATGAACTACCTTGAAGCACTCTTCCTCGGTCAACTCTTGCTAGCTCTTTAAGGTTTGGCAGTGAAGGAGTTCTACCAAAGGCTCCAAATTTGATCATGTAAACATTGCTTGGAGCCCTCAAATTTTGAAATTCGGGCATACAAAAGGCTCCAAGCAACATCTCACTCACACAAGCACATTAGTAGACTGCCCCCCCCCCCCCACACACACTTAAACTCGGCATTGCCCTCAATAGCGTAAGAAAGGGGTAGAGTGATGTTACCGCTTGGGCTTGATGAGTGAATGTAGGAATCGAACCGGGGTAGGATAATTTGAGCTTCAAGGAGAGACAAAAACAAACAGAAGCACAATACGACTCGCTCGAGGCGAGGTTATTACAAGCACAATACATAGTAGTAGTAGTTTACGTCACACAGACACAAATAACAAAAACAAAAATAAAACAAGTTTAGGGTTACAAGTAGAGAAGTGGGGCGAAAGGACTCCGCTCTGCCACATGTCTCTCTCGTCGGC